GACTTTCCAACTTTATTTACTGAACAAGTCATGAAATTATTTCCACCAGCCAGCAATTGCGACACCGTGTATAGCTTTGTGCAATGTTAGGCTTAACATGAGAAAATGATAGGCCCACTAATAAACATTTATTCATTAGCTAAAGAAAAGCTATACATGCCCTGGCACCACAGTAAGCGTATTATCGATTCAATAGACATGCAGCCGCATAGACATGTCACAATTTCAGAACCATAGACATAGACAGCACCATAGACAGTGATTGGTAGTCTACACTTTGTGGGGGGGAGGGGGGGCTCGAACTCCGACCTTGCGGGGGTCCAGAGAAACTGCGTTACGCCAGTGTGTCTCTGGTGTCTGGTAATGAACCGTTTGCATAACTCATTAGTAGCGCAGATCAGCCTGGCACCTACTGGGCTTGCTGCTTGACACATAGTCAGAACTCAGAGCACATATAACATAAGCACAAAGACGCACATGCAAACAGATGCACCCTGTGCAGACGCACATAAAGGCAATCGTACACACACATATAGAAACAGGTGCCTCTATCGCTTACTATGTATGTAGTCTTGCAGTATCTCATGCAATAGATTGGAATGGTTACAAACTGTGGCAGTTGTGTTTTGTGTGTGTGAAAATGAGTGTGTTTAGTAGCTCTTGCCTGTGGCCTATCCATCTGTGGTTGTGTATGTGCGTGTGCGAGTGTGTCATTAGAGCTGGGACTCCCCCTGGGTCTCCCTAATGACCCGGAGTCATGTGACCAGCCCAGCTGCATCCCATGTCTCCCTAAGGCGAATGATAGAGAGATGGGAAGGGAGGGAGGGAGGGGCAAACATACCGAGTGAGTGTGAAGGAGAGAGAGATTGTGGGAGAAGTAGAAGCTAGGGAGACATTTTTAGGGTTTCGAGGGAGGGAGGGGGGGAAGGGAAGGGAAGGTGAGTGTCAAAGGGGCAGAAGACTGTCTATTTCTTACATCACCCATGTAGCACTGGACACAGAGGAGGGAAGATGGGAGGAGGAAAGAGAAGGAAGAGCAGGGAGAGAGGGAGGAGAGGAAAGGGTTGAATTGAGCTTTTGACTGACATGCAATCACAGCAGGTAGTTAAAGAGCTATTCCACTGCAGTCCCACTTTATGGGCTGTCAGCGCGTTGGGCTTTTAAAGACTGAGATAGACAGATAGATTTTAAAGACAGACCGATAGAAGAGACAGAGATAATTCAGAGAGGACAGGGATATACAAGTAGACATCAGTGGACATGGACAAGCGATCCCACTTCGCAAAAACTGGTTGAATCAACGTGGAAAACTGATTGGAATTTCAAAAGGTCATTAATGCAAGGGCATTTATTTGATATTTTACCCAATTTTTAACCTAAATCCAATGACATGGTGAAATGTTTTGTTGATTTTACATTTAATTCACGTTAGTTGAAAACTCAACCAAATGTAAATCAAAACTAGATGTTGAACTGACATCTGTACCCAGTGGGATGTTTGTATTCTATTGTATTCTACTTTTATTCAACCACTTGACCACAGAGCCAATCCCAACCCAACTATACCCCTCTGATGTATGATTGGTTGGCAACACATTCAGGGAAACCAATGGATTACCATGTTCATACATGATTCAGTCAGTGTGACTGATGAGGCCAGTTCTGTAGCCTCCTGAAGGGTTTGTATGTTTCTCCTGATCTCTAGTGGTCAGGGAAGGAAGGACAGGAGTAACTCCATTAAAATAGAATCCCAATTCTAATTCTGAGTAACCCTCTCTGACTCTGAGGACCAGTAGCAGTGGAGATCAGTGATGGTTCTTGACTATTTCCAGCTAATTAGCTACTGTTTGATTGACATTTAAGATTCACTTACAGGTGAGAACCAGGATAGAGTATGCTGACTTGCATTAGACTGTCCTTTGAGGACTGCTTGGCGGTAGTTTGTAAAGTTAGGTATGTGCAGTACGTTTCTAAATAATTCCCTGTTATGAGTTTGGTATGTGTTTGGTTTTTAAGTATCTCAAGTTTCACAAGTGGTAACTGAGGATGGCTGGAGTTATTACTCTTTTAACACCCTGGCCTTCTCAGTGTGGCCTTGGTCTGTGTGTGTAAGCGCGTGTGTGCGTGCATGTGTCGGCACTAGGAGGAGAAATCAGTCCCATTGCTCATACCACAGGGTCAGAAGGCACCGTTTACCCAGAATACCCGGCTCATGGGTACTTATTTTCCGAACAGTTGTCTTGAAGGCATAAGCAAAGTTACATAATATAATGCTGGAAACCAGTAACACACCATTAACACACCCTTTCCACCGGCCCTAATCCCCTGTAAGGGTCTGAAACTAGCAAGTCATTGTGTGTGTGTGTGTGTGTGTGTGTGTGTGTGTGTGTGTGTGTGTGTGTGTGTGTGTGTGGCCAATTTAGTGTGTAGCCTATCGGTCAGCGAGCAGCTCGCAAAGCTGACATCACTAACTACCTCTACATGGAAACAATCTCTCAACTAAACCAGGTTCTGAGGTCATTCAGACATTCAGAATGAAGGAGTGAGAGAACGGGTCATATCTGGACGTCACTGACACAGTCCAGTCAGCATGACCATGAAAGGACATACCGATACATACTAGTAACAAACAGACCAACATAAACAAGCCAGTGACACATAACGTCAGGCTTGAGAGACGGTATGTGGGTTGAGGGGGCTAGTGTACAGGACATGATAGGCTTGATAGGTGTGTGGGGTGTGTTTGTTTTGAGTCTGATAATTTGTCCACTCTTACTCTCTCATTCTCTACCTTCACATTCTAGACAAGTCATCTACCAGATGGGTGTCCCAACAATGGCTATAAATGTATTGTAGCTTGTGGCTAAGCTATGCTACGCTATCTCCTATATGTAACCTGAAACTGAATTCTAATTATGTAGCAAGTGGCTATGCTAAGCTGTCTCATACTGTGTAGTCTGAACCTTCTATACAATGTAACAGATACCTTTATTTTAGCACGGCTAGCTAGTGGGGCTTAATTCTATTCCTCTTCATTTGAGGCTATTATTGTAGCCTTGGGTTTGGGCTGATCTATGCTCCCAGTCCCTCTTCCCATGTTGTGAACTCAGTCTATTACTGTGGGATGACTGAGAGGATAGCTGATGGCGTATAGTGTTACAGGATGGTGTGCAGAATCAGATGATCTAGATTAAAATAACCATTGTGTATTGACTTTGTCTCTGGGTCTTGATGAGTAACCCTGGTTTAGTTTCCCTGGCACTGTTTCCACATGCTAACATTTTAGCATTTGTGGCATAAATCCGATTCTAGTCATAGGACCGATATTAGCATCATGTCCAAATCATCCAAAAGTATCTCAAATTGATTGTGAAGCTCAACAAAGTCACTTTTAGATAATGTGAACATGATATGCGAAAAATGCTAATATCTGTCCGATGACTTAAAATGGGATTTGTGCCATGAATGCTCAAACGTTAGCATGTGCAAACAATGCCAGGGAAACTAAACCAAAGCATTGATTGCTGTCATACCTTGTCCATAGACTGCTTACGGGCTAAGGAAACCAATATGTAATTTTGTAATTTGGGTGAACTATCCCTTTAAGTAAAGAAGTTGGAAACCTACTCAGCCTCTCTTGTCTGTTATTAATTTTTGTATTCACTCAGCAGTTATACTATTTGTCTTATCATAGTTGCTCAATTTGAACTTTGAAGGTCTGAATGGGAATCAGGCCTCGAGACGAGGCACTGAGATCAGTGGAAGGCAGGCTCTCCAGGAAAGATTTGACCCTGGAAATGGTCGGTTGGCATTTGGAGAGGTTCAGAAATACCCCCGATGTGTAGTGTGTGTAACAGAGGTTCAGAAGAGTTAATAGAGTCTAAGTGGCCTTGCGTGCGCTCCCACCTGTTACCGCATACAACACACACACACACACACACACACACACACACACACACACACACACACACACACACACATACCCACACACACACGAACAATGTGAGAGCAACAACTTACACACCAACCAAGACATTAAAGAATCCATTTCCTGTGTTCAAACCAACAGGGTTCAAATGGTCAGAACTGTCCCTCGCTATTTTCACTCTTCACCACAGCGGCTGTTTGTATTTCAATTTTTTTGTCTTTGGATGTTGGCTGATTTGTTTTTTTAGACGTGGCTTGTGTTTCAAAAGAACATTCTCAGGATTGTGACATCTGACTGGAAGCTTTTGAAGCGTCTCAGATGTCACACAGATATCCCTTGCATCCCCTCTCCACACCCACCAGTGCTCAACCCCCAGCCTCTAGTGACCATCACTAGCCACTCACCACTGTGAGGTTCTGACGTCTGATTCGGGCTGCACTGTATTTCGGAGGACATCCTCTATGCCCCATTCTATTCTTAAAACTCTCCCTCTGTCGAGCTGTGTAGAGAAAAGGACTGACTGGCACCTCTCTCTGTCCTCTGTATCTCTTCACAGTCTCCTCTGACTGTACATTATTTTAATTTCATTGTTCTTCGTAAACAAGCTGGAACTGGACTTATTGGACTTTAATCCATTGTGAAGAGGATACAGTGGTCAAACAGTCAATCGGTTAGACGATCTGACGGTTTTCTGGTTGGACTAATAACCACAGAGGGAGATTTCTGTGTTTGAGGAGAGAAGGGAGAGAAGGGCTAGCTGCTGAGTGAAGGAGGAGTGAAAAAATAGTATCAGCTAGTAATTAGTGGACTGGACTCCAAAAGAGGTGCTGGTTTAAGATAAGGAAGAGGAACAAACACCCTGGGTTCCCATTTAGAGGATGTACAGGACAAGGAGGGCTACATTTCAGTTCAACCAACCATTGACTGTTGTTTAATCAAGGAAGGAACTTGCTTGTGTTTGAAAAGAGCAGGGAAGAGCTACCGTAGCTGCTGTGTGTGAAGAACAGGGGTGGTTACATTACGGTTTAACCAGCCATTGACCGTGGTTGACCGCTCTGCTGCAGAACCCACCATGAGCTCCAGTCTGGTCAACTCTCTTGCCAAGGTGTACGACCCCAACCCTCTTCACGGTCAGAAACTGGCCGGGACCAAGCTGATACGTGCACCCACTGGACCTGACAAACAACCCCTCACACCATCCTCACCCTCTTCCTCCTCCTTCTCCTCCTCCTCTTCTCCGGCAATTGCTCCATGGTGCGTTGAGACTGAAAGCCGCATGGACTCTCTAAGCAGCCAGATGGAGCGTCTGCTTAACCTCCAGGAGACCGTCCTCACCCGGCTGGACAGCCTGTCCCAGGACCTGGGGGGTGTGGGGCGGGAGGTGGCCTCTCTCCGGGCCGGGGCCTGGGGGTCGGCTGGAGGTCTGGGCCAGACCCAGGGTAAGACCCAGATCCAGGGGGTGGAGGTGGAGGGTCAGGCCCAGGAGGTGACTGCGGCCTGCAGGGTGCTCCAGGGGGTGGTGCAGGAGGCCAGCCAGCGGGTGGAGCAGCAGGGGCAGAGGCTGGAGGGAGTGGAGAGGTTGGTGGAGGGCATGCATCAGGTCATCGGTTTCATCGGAGAGGTGGTGAAAAGCTCCCTGCTGGCTGAGCTGCTGTTTAATAAGCCTGGAGGCTGTAAAGTGGCTAAGACCAAGCAAGCCAGGAAGGTGAGTTTGTATGGGACACTACACACACCACACGCCCTGAGGAAGCCATTAACTGAAATGTATGCCAGTGTGTGGTGTATGAAGACATGTTGCTATGAAAGAAAATGTAAAGCTTCAATTGTAAATCATAATCAAGTGAGTGCTGACCCTTTTTTCCATTTTTATATTGAATCCAGGGCTCTGTATCTTAATATCAGGGCTGACACTCCATTGCTGGTCCTCTTTGTATCTTGATCAGAGGCTTTGCTAGGTTGTAGTTGTATATGCTAGCTTGAATCACCACTCAAAATGTTGAATGTCCATAATCAGCCCTGGTCATATCAGATACACAGCAGTGGAGAGAACTATAGTATCTGTAAAATGAGACAAATAATTTGTCTCTGAGAGTTACGATTAGGGTTCCTTAGCATTATGTGGGCTAAATTCACAGTGAAGGAGTCTAGAAGTCATAGAGACTGAGCCAGACATTTATAGAGGAGAATTGTGTTAGTGGATAACTCTCTGAATGTGTGAAATGACTCCACATGATTCATCAGTCTACCAGCTGGACAGTTGGCTTTGTGGAGGCATCTCAACATATCCAGCATGGCTAACACTGTGCATGTTAGCCATGCTTAGTCATGTAACTATCCTTCAACCATTGTATGGAGGGCGTATGGATGTACTATTCTCAAGGCTGGGATAATATTGCCCAACCCTAGAACTAAAGGCAACTGAAGCCCTTGTGGGGATTTTAGATGACTGGTGTCGATTTTATTAGCGGCCAACATATTTTGGGTTTAACAAATGTCGAACCAAGTACCATGTGTGTCTGTATTCTTTGTGCTTATGTATTCAGGCTACATATTGACATTGTGTGTTTATCGTTGTGTGTCTGTACGTTTGTGTGAACTGAACAATACTGTACTCTTTGTATGTGTGTGTGAGTGTGCGTACATGAGTCTATGCGTGTGTGTGAGTTTAAGTGTGTGTGCGTGTGTTGAGGTACCGGTATCATTTATACCTGCTTTCTGCTGATTCAGTAGCTCTGGTTGGGCCATGGCATGTACCCCTGCAATGGATAGCAGCCGTTTTACGGGCTCCTGACAAATTCTGCTATTTTGTGTGTTTTTTTGCGCTGATCGTAACTTTTCTTTTTTGCATTATGTTTCTGACATTGTTTCCTATGACCGAAAAGAGCTTCTGGACATCAGAACATATACATTTACATTTTAGTCATTTAGCAGACACTCTTATCCAGAGCGACTTACAGTTAGTGAATACATTATTATTTTTTTATACTGGCCCCCCGTGGGAATCAAACCCACAACCCTGGCGTTGCAAACGCCATGCTCTATCAACTGAGCTACATCCCTGCCGGCCATTCCCTCCCCTACCCTGGACGACGCTGGGCCAATTGTGCACCGCCCATGAGTCTCCCGGTCGCGGCCGGCTGCGACAGAGACTGGATTCGAACCAGGATCTCTAGTGGTACAGTTAGCACTGCGATGCAGTGCCTTAGACCACTGCGCCACTCAGGAGTCTAGTGATCACTAACCTCAATTTGGATGAAGATTTCGACTTCAACGAGTCAGAGGCGCAGGACATACTGCTCAACCCGGACCAGGCCCTAATCACCAAGACTCGGAAGAGAAAAAGGCGGTGAAAGAGAGGCCGATGTGAAGGCACCCTGATGAAAATAGATTGGCGAATACATAATCCGCCTCTACCCTCCATTCTATTGGTGAACATACAATCACTGGAGAACAAACTGGACGTGCTCCGTTTCGAGACTATCCTATAAACAGAACCTGAAGAGTTGTAATATCCTATGTTTCTCGGAGTCGTGGCTGAACAAGGACATGTTTAATATACTGTACATCTAGCTGGTTTTTCTATTCATCGGCAGGACAGAACGGCAGCGTCGGGTAAGCTCAAGGGGAGAGGTGTGTGTCTCTTTGTTAACAGCAGCTGGTGCGCAATCTCTAATATTAAGGAAGTCTCGAGGTTCTGCTCGCCTGAGTTAGAATTCCTCATGATAAGCTGTAGACCATACTATAACAAGAGAGTTTCCATCTATATTTTTTGTAGCTGTCTATTCACCGCCATGAACCACATACAAGTAGCGGTATAGGGCCATAAGCAAACAAGAAAATGCTCATCCAGAGGCGCTCCTAGTGGCCGGTGATTTTAATGCAAGGAAACTGAAATCCGTCTTACTTAATTTCTACCAACATTTCTGCAACTAGAAGCGAAAAAACTATAGATCACCTTTACTCCACACACAGAAACACATACAAAGCTCTCCCTCGCTCTCCATTTGTCAAATCTGACCATAACTCTATCCTCTTGATTCCTGCATACAAGCAAAAACTCAAACAGGAAGTACTATGTTCCGAGATTGATCCGATGGCATTGAGGAATTTACCACATCAGTGATTATACTGTACATACATATCCCAACCAGAAGTAATGGTTTACAGGTAACATCCGCACTGAGTTAAAGGCTAGAGCTGACGCTTTCAAGGAGCGGGACACTAATCCGGATGCTTATAAGAAATCCTGCTACGCGCTCCGACAAACCATCATGCAGACAGAGCGTCAATACAGGACTAAGATCGAATCCTACTACACCGGCTCAGACGCTCATCGAATGTGGTAGGGCTTGCAAACTATCACGAATTACAAAGGCAAACCTAAACACAAGCTGCCCAGTGACGTGAGCCTACCAGATGAGCTAACTGCCTTCTATGCTCACTTCAAGGCAAGCAACACTGAACCAGCTCTTCCGGACGACTGTGTGATCACGCTCTCCATAGCCAATGTGAGTAAGACCTTTAAACAGGTTAACATTCACAAGGCTGCAGGGCCAGACGGATTAACAGGATGTGTACTCAGAGCATGCGTTGACCAGCTGGCCAGTGTCTTCACTGATATTTTCAAACAGACCACCATAGTCCCTGTGTCCAAGAACGCCAAGGTACTATCGCACCATAGCACTCACATCTGTAGCCATGAAATGCTTTGAAACTCATGGCTCACATGAACACCATCATCCCAGCCTCTCCCTCAGCGCAGCAAGACAAAGGAGCTGTTCATGGACTACAGGAAACTAAGGATCTATCATGGTCTACACACACCAACACAGTGAAGAAGAGGGCACTACAATGCCTCTTCCCCCTCGGATCCTCAAACCGTTATACAGCACATAATTAGTTGCATGGATTCACTATGTGTGCAATAATAGTGTTTAACATAATTTTTTATGACTACCTCATCTCTGTACCCCACACATACAATTATCTGTAAGGTCCATCAGTCGAATTTCAACCACAAAAACCAGGGAGTCCAATGCCTCACAAAGAAGGGCATCTATTGGTAGATGGGTAAAAAAAAAGCAGACATTGAATATCCCTTTGAGCATGAAGTTATAAATTACACTTTGGATGGTGAATAATACACCCAGTCACTACAAAGATACAGAAGTCCTTCCTAACTCAGTTGCCGGAGAGAAGGAAACCACTCAGGGATTTCTCCATGAGGCCATTGGTGACTTTAAAACAGTTACTGAGTTTAATCTCTGTGATAGGAGAAAACTGAGGACGGATCAACAAAATTGTAGTTACTCCACAATACTAACCTAATTGACAGAGTGCAACGAAGGACATTTGTACAGAATACAAATATTCCAAAACATGCATCTGGTTTGCAACAAGGCACTAAAGTAATTTCTGCATAAAATCTGCCAAAGCAATTACCTTTTTGTCCTGAATACAAAGTGTTATGTTTGGGGCATATCCAATACAACACAGTACTGAATATCACTCTCCATATTTTCAAGCATAGTGGTGGCTGCTTCGTGTTATGAGTATGCTTGTAATCGTTAAGGAGACTAGGGAGTTTTCCAGGATTAAAAAGAAAGGAAATGGAGCAAAGCATAGGCAAGATCCTAGAGGAAAACCTGGTCCAGTCTGCTTTCCACCAGACACTGGGAGAGTAATTCACCTTTCAGAAGGACAATAACCTAAAACACAAGGCCAAATCTGCACTGGAGATGCTTACCAAGAAGACCGTGAATGTTCCTGAGTGGCTGAGTTACAGTTTTGACTTCACTCTGCTTGAAAATCTATGGCAAGACCTGAAAATGGTTCTCTAGCAATGATCAACAACCAATTTCGCAGCTTGAAGAATATTGAAAATAATAATGGGCAAATGTTGCACAATCAAGGTGTGGAAAGCTCTTGGAGACTTACCCAGAAAGACCCACAGCTGTAATCACTGCCAAAGGTGATTCTAACATGTATTGACTCAGTGGGTTGAATATTTATCTAATCAAGATACAGTGGCTTGCGAAAGTATTCACCCCCCTTGGCATTTTTCCTATTTTGTTGCCTTACAACCTGGAATTAAGATGGATTTTTTGGGGTTTGTATCATTTGATTTACACAACATGCCTATTTTTTTATTGTGAAACAAACAAGAAATAAGACCAGAAAACAGAAAACTTCAGCGTGCATAACTATTTACCCCCCCAAAGTCAATACTTTGTAGAGCCACCTTTTGCAGCAATTACAGCTGCAAGTCTCTTGGGGTATGTCTCTATAAGCTTGGCACATCTAGCCACTGGGATCTTTGCCCATTCTTCAAGGCAAAACTGCTCCAGCTTCTTCAAGTTGGTTGGGTTCCGCTGGTGTACAGCAATCTTTAAGTCACACCACAGATTCTCAATTGGATTGAGGTCTGGGCTTTGACTAGGCCATTCCAAGACATTTAAATGTTTCCCCTTAAACCACTCAAGTGTTGCTTTAGCAGTATGCTTAGGGTCATTGTCCTGCTGGAAGGTGAACCTCCGTCCCAGTCTCAAATCTCTAGAAGACTGAAACAGGTTTCCCTCAATAATTCCCCTGTATTTAGCACCATCATTCCTTAAATTCTGACCAGTTTCCCAGTACCTGCTGATGAAAAACATCCCCACAGCATGATGCTGCCACCACCATGCTTCACTGTGGGGATAGTGTTCTCCTGATGATGAAGAGGTGTTGGGTTTGCGCCAGACATAGCCTTTTCCGTGATGGCCAAAAAGCTCAATTGTAGTATCATCTGTCCAGAGTACCTTCTTCCATATGTTTGGTGAGTCTCCCACATTCCTTTTGGCGAACACCAAATGTGTTTGCTTATTTATTTATTTAAGCAATGGCTTTTTTCTGGCCACTCTTCCGTAAAGCCCAGCTCTGTGGAGTGTACGGCTTAAAGTGGTCCTATGGACAGATACTCCAATCTCCACTCTGGAGCTTTGCAGCTCCTTCAGGGTTATCTTTGGTATCTTTGTTGCCTCTCTGATTAATGCCCTCCTTGCCTGGTTCGTGAGTTTTGGTTGGCGGCCCTCTCTTGGCAGGTTTGTTGTGGTGCCATATTCTTTCAATGTTTTAATAATGGATTTAATGGTGCTCCGTGGGATGTTCAAAGTTTCTGATATTTTTTTGGATTTGGAATGGATTTAAGGGTGCCCAACCCTGATCTGTACTTCTCCACAACTTTGTCCCTGACCTGTTTGGAGAGCTCCTTGGTCTTCATGGTGCCGCTTGCTTGGTGGTGCCCCTTGCTCAGTGGTGTTGCAGACTCTGGCCTTTCAGAACAGGTGTATATATACTGAGATCATGTGACAGATCATGTGACACTTAGATTGCACACAGGTGGACTTTATTTAACAAATTATTTGACTTCTGAAGGTAATTGGTTGCAGCAGATTTTATTTAGGGACTTCATAGCAAAGGGGGTGAAATACATATGCATGTACCACTTTTCCGTTATTTATTTTGTATCATTATTTTTACCAAGTTATTTTTTCATTTCACTTCACCAATTTGGACTATTTTGTGTATGTCCATTACATGAAATCCAAATAAAAATCAATTTAAATTACAGGTTGTAATGCAACAAAATAGGAAAAACGCCAAGGGGGATGAATACTTATGCAAGCACTAGTAGTGATTAGTGATTTATGTTTCATGAAGTTTTTACAAATGTTCAAATTTTTCTTTCACTTTGACATTACAGAGTATTTTATGTAGATCGTTGACAAAGATATGGCAATTAAATCCATTTGAATCCAATTTTTAACACAACAAAATAGAAAAGTCAAGGGGTGTGAATACTTTCTGTAGAGACTGTATACTTCCATTCATTTTCTAAACTGGTACCGGGCTACCTTCAGGCGAGTCTTGTGAGGCTTGTGTGTGTCCTGGAGCAAAACAAGACTCACCTTTCCATAGAGGGTTCATATTAGTGTGTAGCCCAAACTGTTTGGACGCTACAGACAGAAGTTGGCAGATCGGCGGTATTGACTTCAGAGGAGTCCCGTGATACAGACGTTTTCGTGAGAAGACCGATTTTCGGGATGTCTTCTGGTCTGACAAACACCGCTGTAGCTCGGCCACCTTCTAACTGATATCTCTAGCTTAAACAGACAGATTTTGATGGGGATTTCTCCAGTTTGCAATGAAAGTTTAATGTTTCTATGCCTCCTCTCTCCCTGTCAGCTAAAGGACAATGGGATGAGGGATGGGAAGGACAAGGCCAAACTCAGCCTGAAGTGCCTGAAAGCCCAGAAGAAGAAGCCTCCAGATGCATCAGGTAGCAGAGATAGACACACCAACTTCACCTCAACTAAATAAATGTAAATGAAATAGAGCAGGAGTGCTCTTTGGTAATACATGTCCAATGAAGGGTGCTCTTTGAAAATAAGGATGATCGTTCCAGGTAAATAAAGATGTTGATGGGGTGAATCTAACCCAAAGCATGATGTTGTCTTTTCTGTTTGTCCATCCTCAGACTCTGTAGAGGCCCTCCTTCTAGACCAGGTAGAGAAGCTCAACAGGCAGAATGCTGAGCGTTCCCATGGTAATGGGGTGGTCCTGGACATGCCCCGCGCCCTCGTCGTACAACCAGAGGACCTGGAGGATCTAGAGGGGAAGGAGGAGGAGAAGAGGAAAACCCCTGAGCAGGAGGAAGAGCAGAGGGCCAGGGAGGAAGAGGAAGAGGAGGGTGATATATTTGGTGAATCTGAACCTGAGGAAGAGGAGGGAGGAGAGGAAGGGGCACTGAAGATTAAGGTGGAGCACGTTCAAGAGGAAGACTTGGAGAATAGAAGGGAAGGAGGGGAGAAAGAGTCATCAGAACCTCTAGAAAGGTACCTTTCGACACTCAACCCATCTTATGACATTACTATGACTGCAAATCTCAACTTCTGTATACGTTTACCAAAATAACTACTGGCTAATTACTTAACACAATTGATAGTTGTTTTGATATTTGTTTGATGTTTGTTTGTTATTTAGTTCTGAGGAGTTAGGTGAAGTGGCTGCCAGCAGTAAACGTGGCGTCAAAGAGGAGTATTTGTTGAAAGACGACTTAAAAAAGAGTCGAGTGGAGGACAGGAAAGAGGCGGAGGAGGAGGAAGGAGGAGTTCCTGAGGGGGCAGAGCTTCAGGCTGCCCAATCAGAGGCAGAGAAGACGGAGCAGGAAGAGGAGGTGGATAATGGACAGCCAAAAGAGTACATCATTGGTGAGGTTCATTATTTTGCAGAATGGGAAACTGACAAAAGTTTGAAAACAAAGCTAATTTTGAGTTTTTTTGCCATTGTGGCAACATTCCTAAAATAAAATAAGGTATTGAGATATCTTCTGTAAATGAAGTGAAGTATCTTCATATTACCTTGTATGGGCAAGCAGGCTGATAAACATTAAGAAATCCTATCTACTACTGTCTTTCTAGTTAGGGACATTAGACTTTCAGTCACTCACACTACAGGTCACTTTACTTAAAGGGATACTTCGGGATTCATCTGACTCTACTTCCCCAGAGTCAGATGAACTCGTGGATACGATGTTTATGTCACTGTGTCCAGAATGAAGGAAGTTAAAGGTAGTTTCAAGAGCCAATGCTAACTAGCGTTTGCGCAATGACTGGAAGTCTATGGGTATCTACTAGTATGCTAGTAGATACCTATAACTTCCAGACATTGCGCTAACGCTAGTTAGCAATTGCGCTAGTGCTAGTTAGCAACTACCTTCAAACTGCACGCAAAGACATAGAAATGGTATCCACGAGTTCATCTGACTCTGGGGAAGTAGATAAAAGGCCTCATTGACAAAATCCCGAAGTATCCCTTTAACACTATGCATGTATGAAGTTCACGAACATGACACAGCTGGCATATTGGATTATGAAATGCTGGCATGACACCATATGATCTGTTTGGTTACTAAGACAGAACAGACACTAATCTATCTTCTGTATGCTCCTCCCTATCCTCGCTTCTGTCCCCTCACTCCCTTTCTGGCCATCTATATCCCTTATCCCTTATCCCTCTCCTTTCCTCCATCTCTCTCTTCTCTCCAGACTCTAGCCCTCCGCCAGCAGCCCCCTTTGACCACCGCATCGTGACTCCTAAACCTCACCAGGTTACTACCTTCTACACCATTAACAGAGAGGAGGTCCTAGGAGGGTGAGTCGTGAGGAGAGAGAGAGAGAGAGAGAGAGAGAGAGAGAGAGAGAGAGAGAGATAGAGAGAGAGAGAGAGAGAGAGAGAGAGAGAGATAGAGAGAGAGATAGAGAAGAGAGAGAGGAGAGAGAGAGAGAGAGAGAGAGAGAGAGAGAGAGAGAGAGAATGGCAGGCCCAGGCAGGGGACTCATAATACACTCACAGTTCAATTAGACCCTCAAACACACGCTACACTGAAACCCCAACCTCAGCTCTCATAACACCACAGTCAGGCCATTTATTTTTACTCCACGGTATGTGAAACACACACACACACACACGCACACTCCCCCCCAGCTGTAATGATATCAGGGGAAATCTCATACCTGTGGTGGGGCCAGTTACAGTATTTTCCAGAGCTGTTCTAATTGCCCCCTCAATGGCAGATGATTAGACGGCTCAGGGGGCATTTATTACGCAATGACAGAGTGTGTGTGTGTGTGTGTGTGTGTGTGCGCATGCAGTGGTGGAAAAAGTACCCAATTGTCATACTTGAGAAAAAGTAAAGATACCTTAATAGAAAATGACTCAAGTAAAAGTGAAAGTCACCCAGTAAACTACTTGAGTAAAAGTATACAATTATTTGGTTTAAAATATACTTAAGAATCAAAAGTAAAAGTATAAATCATTTTAAATTCCTTATATTAAGCAAGCCAGACGTCACAATTTTCTTGTTTTTAAAAATAACGGATAGCCAGAGGCACACTCCAACATGCAGACATAATTTAGTGAGTCCATCAGATCAGAGGCAGTAGGGATGACCAGGATTTTCCAGGACAGGAAAATTGAATTTGACAATTTTCCTGTCCTGCTAAGCGTTTAAAATGTAACGAGTACCTTTCGGTGTCAGGGAAAATGTATGGAGTATAAAGTAAAAAATTTTCTTTAAGAATGTGGTGAAGTAAAAGTAAAAGTAGTCCAAAATATAATAGTAAAGTACAGATACCCCAAAAAAACAACCTAAGTTGTACTTTGAACAATTTTTTACTTAAGTACTTTACACCACTGTGTGTGTGTGTGTGTGTGTGACAGGTGTCTCTGAAGCAACCAGCCAACCAGAAAGTGTTAAACCCAGGCTCTGTATCTGTTGATTACTGTATTACTGCTCTGCACGCTAACACATCTCCCAGATAGCTGCAATAGTGACACATAATTCATATTACTGATTGACGTCATTACAGAGAGAGAGTGCGTTTGCCATGCCATGCCTACGCCCTACAATGACAACCCCAAAAGCCTGATATAGAAAAGGAAACATTACTATAAAGTTATTACTGTACTATCCTTAGCTTAGCCTAGACAAAAAGAACAGGGTGTCCCGAAGCATCACTGTTTATGAATGTGTTTCTCTGTATGTGACTTTGGGTTCATAGGGGACGTTTTGGACAAGTCCATAAATGCGTAGAGAACTCTTCTGGACTGAAGTTGGCTGCCAAGATTATCAAAGCCAAGAGCCAGAAAGAGAAGGTAAAGACCTTGATCTAAATATTAGACCTGAAATATATACTTTAAAATAGGCCTCCCAGGTATACATTTCAGACATTGATAGCATATGCCTTGTAGAATGTGTGTGTCCCAAATGACACCCTATTCACTACCTAGTGCACTACTTTTGATTAGGGCCCTGGTCAAAAGTAATGCTCTACATAGGGAATATGGTGCCATTTGGAAAGAAGCCATTGATATCAGTTGTACAGTATGTGTCCAATGTCCCCACCATGAAGATGGATGGATATTTTATCATAGCACAACGCCATAAAGAATAGAATAACATTTTTAAATAGATATAGCTTAATCACCCTAATACCCACGGCACATGTGGCAATATGTCAGTCAGTCTCATCTCAGCTTAGTGTGACATGTGAGATGAGATAGCCGTCAGATGTCTGTGGCAGTGCATAGCTGAATGATTACGTTATCATTTTAGATATTCATAAAGTGTAGTTAGCCTACCAAAACCAGGGTCAAAGCCGTAACTGGCTCAGGTTTCTGTGTGGTACTGTAGGTCTCAATAACGGACCACGCTGGGGTTGTGTGTCTGTGTGTCTGTGTGTCTGTCTGTGTGTCTGTCGATCTAATGTTTAATGTATTGGCCTGTTTCCCAGGACGTGGTGAAGAATGAGATCCAGGTGATGAACCAGCTGAATCATGCCAACCTGATCCAGCTCTACGCTGCCTTCGAGTCACGCCACGACATCATCCTCGTCATGGAATAGTGGGTCCCCCTCTCTCTCTCTTTCTCTCTGTGTATATACAGGTATATATATGTATATGTGTGTGTGTATTCATGAGTTTGCGTCTGTGGCCTTCGAAATGTTTGAATCCTTTTGAAGATTCAAATAAAGTATCTAAAGTGTGTGTATTTCTCCTCTTTGCGCTACACCGTATCTCACCTCTCCATATTCCTGTGTGTGATGGTATCTCTCTCCGCTCTTCCACCTAGAATGTGTGTGACTGTATTTCTCACTTCTATACAGTGTGGATGGTGGGGAGCTGTTTGACCGGATCATAGATGAGAACTACAACCTGACAGAGCTAGACACGGTGCTGTTCATCCGACAGATCTGTGAGGGACTACAGTACATGCACAAGATGTACATCTTACATCTAGACCTCAAGGTATATGACTCACTCTCTAGGTCTTCATTTGTTATTCAAATCAAATCAAATTCTATTTGTCACATGCGCCGAATACAACCTTACCGTGAAATGCTTACTTACGAGCCCTTAACCAACAATGCAGTTCAAGAAATAGAGTTAAGAAAAGATTTACAAAATAAACATAAAAAAAAAATAAAAAAAAATAACGAGGCTATATACAGGGGGTACCAGTACCGAGTCAATGTGCGGGGGTACAGGTTAGTTGAGGTAATTTGTACATGTAGGTAGGGATAAAGTGACTATGCATAGATAATAAACAGCGAGTAGCAGCAGTGTAAAAACAAAGGGGGGGGGGGGGGGGGGGGGGGGGGGGGGGGGACTGTTACAGGAGGGGGTTAGAGTTCCGGAGCAACCCACTAGGTGTCATCCTCCGACAACCTTAGGCACCTCCTTTTTCACAGTCTGGACTAATCATTATACTATTGGTGTCACCTGTGTCTACCTGTTAACCTGTGTATTTATGCCCTCACTTCCCTGTGTTCCCTTGCTCAGTTTTCTCTGCTAGTTTCTCTATGTCCAGCAGTACTACTCAGTGTCTGATCGGAGACCTATGTACAGGTACTTGAGAAGTGTTCTCCCTGTTTGGTTATTTGTTTCAGTCATTGGTAGTATTTCGTATTTTGGCTGTCAGCCGGTTTTTGGAGACTTATTTGCTCCGCCTTTCTTTTATCGTGATAAGTCTGTTATTTTGTATTCTGGCTTCGGGACCACCAGTAAAGATCTTTGTTTCACCATCTCTGCCTACTGCCTACTGTATATCCTGCACCGCACCTGGGTCACACCTCACACCAACCCTTACAGGGGGCTCAGTGTAAATAGTCAGGGTGGCCATTTGATTAATTGTTCAGCAGTCTTATGGATTGGGGTTAGAAGCTGTTAAGGAGCCTTTTGGACCTAGACTTGGCACTCCGGTACTGCTTGCTGTGCGGTAGCAGAGAAAATAGTCTATGAGTTGGGTGACTGGAGTCTTTGACAATTTTTTGGGCCTTCCTCTGACACCGTCTAGTATATAAGTCCTGGATGGTCGGAAGCTTGGCCCCAGTGATGTACTGGGCGGTACGCACTAACCTCTGTAGCGCCTTACAGTCAGATGCCGAGCAGTTGCCTTACCAGGAGGTGATGCAACCGGTAAGGATGCTCTCGATGGTGCAGCTGAATAACTTTTTGAGGATCCATCTCTTTCCCATTTTCTCCTCTGCCTATTTCTCTTTCTTGATTACCTTGCCTGTATCACCACCTTTCTGTCATCGTCTTAGAATAGGTAGCTAGTTTCTTTGTCTCACTCTTTTGTGTTCTTTCCTAGCCGGAGAACATTCTGTGTGTGAGCAGAGCTACAAACAAGATCAAAATAATTGACTTTGGGCTTGCAAGAAGGTAAGATACAAATATATACAGTACCATACAACATTTTCGACACAACTACTCATTTAAGGGTTTTTATTTTTGTGCAAAGCTGTTATCAAGGCAAAGGGTGGCTGCTTTGAAGAATCTCAAATATAAAATATATGTTGATTTGTTTAACACTTTTTTGGTTACTACATGATTCCATATGTGTTATTTCATAGTTCTGATGTCTTCACTATTATTATACAATGTAGAAAATAGTAAAAATAAAGAAAAACCCTTGAACGAGTAGGTGTGTCGAAACATTTGACTGGTACTGTATATATGGTCTATTTCTCTGTCTCTCTTTAGGTGCATTCTCTACACGTGTTTACCACTCTTCTCTCCTCATTCCCTCCTCTATCCCTGTCTCAGGTATAAGCCCAGGGAAAAATTGAGGGTTAATTTTGGAACGCCGGAATTCCTAGCTCCGGAAGTCATCAACTATGAATTTGTTTCATTCCCTACGGACATGTGGAGTCTGGGGGTCATCACATACATGCTGTGAGTCCTCATAAACAACATTTACATTATCATACTCACATTCAGTACACAAGCTACCTACCCTAAGATGTGGATGGGTGACATCAAAAATACACTACAGCGACATGGTTCTAACTCAATGTGCTGTCCCCTAAATAACACTATTCAAAGGAAACCAGCTCCCGCACAACGGGGCATGCATGGTATTAATAGCTAACATTTCAGCCTCCTAGCCTTTTGTCAGAGCTTTTTGGATCACTTATCCTCACAGTCATCACTGTGTCTCACCTCTCTCGCTGTGCCTCCAGGCTGACTGGTCTGTCTCCATTCCTGGGTGACGATGACAATGAGACTCTGAACAACATCCTGGCCTGTCAGTGGAACTTTGAGGAGGAGGAGTTTACAGACATCTCTGAGGAGGCCAAAGACTTCATCACACGCCTGCTGGTCAAGAGCAATAGGTGAAAATTACTGTGTGTTACTTTGTGTGTGTGTGTTCTCTAAGGTTGTATTATTATTCAGTTGTTGACCTGTGTATCGCTGTGATAGTGTGTGTTTCAATCATGCATGTGTGTTTGTGGGTGTGTTCCCTAGTTGGAGGATGAGTGCCTCACAGTCACTGAAACATTCCTGGCTGTCGGACCGTAATCTTCACTACCGCCTGCATCAGAAGGTAGAACCCACATAGCACTTTCCAACCTTGAGATTTGTTTGGTATGACGCATTTAACCCATTTCTATCACAATTCACTAACATGGTTAATATACTGTAACTTTTCTTACAGAAAAATAAGTGCCACTCAACACACCCTCACCCTCCCCGAAAATCTAGACAGGTAAGCCCTCAAAACCACCCAGCCAACTAGCTCACAAACCTTATTGACTTTCCATTCATCTATATTCACAAATATGCTGTAGGTGCCAAACATTGGGGTCTTATTCTGTCTTTCTTTTCTATTGGTTTAGTTCCCCATCCAGAATGAGTCCCCCCTCCAAAATGGCTCCCAAGACCCTGTGGGCGCCTTATGATGACACGGACCGGTGCCTAGTGATGACACTGGGGCCAGGGGCAGGGCCCAACACTGGACCAACACTGCTGTACCTGTATGGGTACTCGATTACTACTCTCTGCGCTGCCTCGCATCCGTTAGCTTAGCACCGCGGCTCGCTATAGCTCTCGCCACAGATGTGAGAGTGTGAGGCCGGCAGGAGCCCATTCCCACTCTGTTACTCTGGCCACAACATCACCAAAGACTCTCAGCTTACAACCCAGCTAACAATATACACAGTGGCACAGTACACCATGCAGTCCTACGGTCCTGCACGCACAAAACAAAGGGACCTTCACCATGACAAGGGAGGAGGGGATTGCAGGTGGGGTGGCCAACAACTGTTTGTTCAACAGCTGAATGTCCCTTATGGGCCAGTGTATTGCTGTCCTAGCTTCAGTTGGGTAACTGAGAGAACCCAGTTGGGACAGAGCTGACATGTGCAGCCTCTAGGCTGAGGGTTAGGAGGAGGCCTTCTAGTCTGAGAGGACATCATGCACAGCCCCTCGAACCCAGTAGGCATCATCCTGCTGAATGAAAGATGAGGTGTGGAGTGCAATGGTGGAGTGCCCCTTACCCCCAGTTGAAATTTTATCCAGTATTAATGTACTATTTATCATATTGCAATTAATGTGGTGCAATGTGGTGCAACCTAAAACTCTACATTATTTGATAAAGGAACGTATGTGTTAATATGATGGCTACCTTTATTAATTACACAAAACATTTATAAAGGTATTCTGCACAGTCACATGTTATAAGCATCACTATTGAATACAAACAGAACCCCCATCATATTATTTATGAACATTTTCAGCATACTGTGGATGTGAAATACCTTATCATAGGTCTAGTTTACCAAGTCTTGCTTTTTATTTATTTGAGAGGTTTTGAATTAGAAGTCTGGTGCGGGGAGCATTTATTTTCCTGGTATTTTCCTAGCATAGTTTCTAGAGTTAGGAGTGCATTTTTTTTCTTTACATTTGACAATGATGTCCTTCTCTTCTTTATTTGCCCCATTGAAGATTGTCGTATTCATTGATGGAAATTGGAAAATTAAGAGATTATTCCTTAGTATTTGCTCTTCCCATTGCTGCTAACATTACTTTCTCCTCTTTACTGTAAAACCACCTCTGTGCCTGCATGCTGTTGGCTTGACCTTTGACCCTGCTTCGCTTTGGCCATTTGGAGTAGCCCTCTCACCTTCCATGAAGGCATAATACTGATCAACAGAACACTACCTATATGATTGAATAATTCATGTTTATCACTGAAGTTAGTAGCCACCCACTGGACACAGATGTCAGTTCAACGTCTAGTTTTGATTTACATTTGGTTGAGTTGTCAACTAACGTGAATTAAATAATTTCTTAGGTTAAAAGATTTAGGTTAAAAGTTGGGTGAAAAAAATACGAAATGCCCTTACGATGATGATGTAAATCCACTTATACTGAACAAAAAAATAAATGCAACATGTAAAGTGTTGGTCCCATGTTTCATGAGCTGAAATAAAAGATCTCAGACATTTTCCAAAAAGCTTATTTCTCTAAAATGTTGTGCACAAATGTGTTTACATCCCTGTTAGTGAGCATTTCTTCATTGCCAAGATAATCCATCCCCCTGACAGGTGTGGCATATCAAGAAGCTGATTAAACAGCGTGATCATTACGGGGGGGACATGTACCCCCGACATTCTGAAATTGCATTTTTTGTCCCCCCCAGTTTCATCATTGGAATGTGATACAAAACGAGTCAACGGTGTGCTTTAGGACCATGCGGACGCCTCCAAGCGGTCAGGTAGGCTGTTTGGCGTGTTTATCCGACTGAAATAATAAAATCAAGTAATAATAATAATTATGTCCCCCCCACTTCTAAAACCAAAGTTGCACCCCTGATTATTACACAGGTGCACATTGTGCTAGGGACAATAAAAGGCCACTCTAAAATGTGCCGTTTTGTCACACAACACAAGGCCACAGATGTCTCAAGTTTTGAGGGAGCGTGCAATTGGCATGCTGACTGCAGGAATGTCCACCAGAGCTGTTGCCAGAGAACTGAATGTACATTTCTCTACCATAAGCACCTCCAATGTCGTTTTAGAGAATTTGGCAGTATGTCCAACCGGCCTCGCAGACCACGTGTAACCACGACAGCCCAGGACCTCCACATCCGGCTTCTTCACCTGTGAGATCGTCTGAGAACAGCCACCCGGACAGCTGATGAAACTAAGGAGTATCTGTCTGTAATAATGCCCTTTTGTGGGGAAAAACAAATTCTGATTGGCAGGGCCTGGCTCCCCAGTGGGCGGGCCTATGCCCTCCCAGGCCCACCCATGGCTGCGCCCCTGCCCAGTCATCTGAAATTAATAGATTAGGGCCTTATTTATTTATTTATTTCAATTGACTGATTTCCCTATATGAACTGTAAATCAGTAAAATCGTTGAAATTGTTGCATGTTGCGTTTATATTTTTGTTCTTCCCCCTATTTTACGTGTTGATTCAACATCATCACATAGATTTTTGGGGTTGAAATTACGTGGAAATTCAACCAGTGCCAGTCTGTTTGTGCTATTACGCCAACTTCTTGTCACTCATTGTCATGTCAATTAAATTAGCTCGACACTGACAGCAATTAAGTTGGCAAGAGCACAAATTGATCTGGGACCAGGCTACGAAGTTAGAACTTATGTTCATGAGTTATCTTGGTTCCTCACCCGATTTTTACTTGAAACGCAAGGCTTAGTGTCCATGAGAAGGGTATATTATAGTATATAAGATCCAGGAGATAATAAAACACATAAAACAAAGGTTTATTTATTTATTTGTGTTCTACTGGTTAAAGTTGAAGTCTTTGAGTAATTCTACTGTAGATCTAAATCAAATAAAATATTTGTCTGTACTATTGCCTCGAATTGATTGATTGTCTGATTATTTCTTGGTCAGATCTGCCCTCCATGATATCAGTTGTTCTCCTTATACCCTTTCAAAGTGGAAAAGTGTTGTGAATTGTGATTTGTTTTTCCGAGTTTGTTTTCCTGTCATGATTAAATATAATACTAGATAGAAATGTAGAAAGATACAAAAATTAAAATCCTGACATTATTTAGAAAACTAATTGAAATAGGTTATGGAAAATCGTGAGGCAGTAGAATCATCCTATTTTCTACAGCAGGGATAGGCAACTTTGATGGGGGTGGGGGCCCCAAAAAATATTTTTGGGGCCATACGCGAAATGGTGTTTCTCCCACCTTGCGAGCAAAACATTTGAGAATCCTCCTCTTAAAAGCATAGAAAAAAAAAACAGTTTTAGAGTTAATTACCTGCAATTCTGCAAATTTTGCCATAGGGTTGAGGGAAATGTTTGTAGTTTTTAATAGGATATCTGAGTGAGAGTGAGTAACAAAATCAATGGTCGGTAATTCGACCATGATTATAAGTAACCATAAGTAATTTGACCAAGTGTAGATAGCTGGCCGCTAGACTAATTTACCAATCTATAAATGTTTTGCTGACATGAGCTAATTGAGTGACAAGAGAAAAACTGCTAATTCACAACCAAATGTCCCCCCTTTTGTAGGCCCGTGGAATCCCTGTTCTACAGGGCTTATCAATCAGTGATAATTTGGAGACTGCATCTATGTTTATGTCTGATAGTGGCCACGAGAGAGCAGTATTGGACGGCAACGGTCAACCTTCATACCGACTGAGGTAGCCCCATAATTCAAGCAGTGCGGCTTGTGCTTCATTTGTTTAAGGTCCATATCATATTGCTTTGATAGTCCCTGGTGAATCAACACCATATTTCTGGTATTTTATATTTATTTTTGAAGACAAGACATAGGCTAAAGTAGGACAAGTTGCCTAAATATAGAGAGAACACATGGACATATTCTCTGGATAGTGGGCTATAACAAAAACATGAACACTACTTCTTCAATGCCTGTTTAGATTCACCTTCTTTTTTTTACTCACCCCACAGACATAATCATTGTGAAACATAAAGTAGCCTAGGGAAGGGTTTCCAAACTCGGTCCTGGGGCCCCCCTTGGGGGCACGTTTTGTTTTTTGCCCAAGCACTACACAGCTGGTTCAAATAATCAAAGCTTGATGATAAGATGGTTATTTGAAACAGCTGTGTAGTGCTAGGGCAAAAACCAAAACGTGCACCCGAGGGGGCCCCAGGACCGAGTTTGGTCAGATAGGACAAAAGGGAGACGGTGGCTAGACTAAAACGTTCTATTAGGCCTACAGTACATGATCTGACCACAGGACCTGACTTTTTGACATGGGTGTGCTGCTAGTGCTCCTTGTGCCTTGCCTCCAGGTATTTACCTTAAAACTAGGCCCTGAGCGATGCGGCGGCGGGATACGCCATGTCCTGCAGAGCAAGATGAAAGCAGCAGGTTCGAGACGTAATTAGGCCCTCCAACTGAGAAGCCAATATATTCACTTCACTACGCTCACCTGAACAAATAAACCCTGAAGGGATGGTGGGATGGCGGGATGGATGGGGGTGTTTTGATCCTGTAGAGAGAGAGAGAGAGAGAGAGAGAGAGAGAGAGAGAGAGAGAGAGAGAGAGAGAGAGAGAGAGAGAGCCAGAGAGCCTGTCCACTGCCGAGTAGCCTAAAATTAAGGCTAT